AAGGAAACTCACTGAATGAGAAGGTGTGTCCAAACTTTTGGTCTGTACTGTATATATAATGCAAGGAAATTTTTTTTTTACTCAGCAAGTGTCTGTAAATGTTGCCTGGTGAAAGCACGCAGCTAGAGGAGCACAGTTCAGAGTAGATGAGCTTCAGAGAGGTTCCACCACAGGGTTTTTTTCTATGTTGCTGTGTGCTGATTACTTGACACTTTAGATTTCAACAGAGTTGATGAACTGAACCATCACATCAGCACTTAGGCCTCTGTTGAATGCTACAGTGAACTCATGAAAATAAAAGTAGATGACCTCTTCCACTGACTGAGTAGAATATACACTGAATGCCGTCAAATCAGGCTTTTCGAACAGTTCATGCGACCCTGGCTTTCTTTCCATTTCTGTGAAAACATCTTTGAAAAATGTTTCGCTAATTAATGTATTATTCTCGCCGTCGCTAGTCTCTATTGTAACACTGCTAACACAAGTGATTGATTCATTCTGGGTTAATGCTGGCCCACAAATGTCAGTTTGACAGCTGCATGCCATCAACAGTTACCATGAGAACAGGATGCTGTTTCAGTGTGATGTTCTGGCGTTGCGTTAAATGCATTAGCTCATTAATGCCCTCGGTTTTAATTAGAGATTGCAGCTGATTATAAAGAGGAACACGCCTTGTGAAGAGCAGGTAAATAGGCATGCTTTGTCACACAAAATTACTGCTGTCGAAGTATGAGAATTTGTGCTAATAAGTGAGGTACCATCCAGTCCCAACCCTTCTTAAACCACAACCTGATTACAGCACAACCGTGACACCACGAAAAGGATAAATAAAAAAGCTAGCAGGCTGGTGTCTCTTAGGTGCTTGTTCCTGTTTGAATTAGGCCACTTGCTGCACTGACAGCACCATGGAGAGCTCCTTCAGCACTGTGGTCACCAAAAATACTGAATGGAAAAGGAGACACTGAGAAACACTGCATTGACTAACTTGAGCTGCGACGCTGTTAAAATGGTGCTGCAGCTTCTTTAATGAAAACCATCAGACATTCAGTTGTGCATCTATGAACCTCTGCAGTCTGTAGTGTTTGTTTCAGTTGTCTAGTGAAACAATTTTCTCTTTAAAAATACAGAATCAAACATAAAAACACAATAGATTATATTTAATATTAAACAAGTGGAAATACAGTATGAACTAGTCAGGATGAGTGTGCTCTGAAGGGTGCATTTACTTCACAACAGCAAGAACAACCTGTTTTGCATGTTAACCAGAAGCATTACTGATCCCTATGAATTATTCTGTGACAAAACTAAAAACCCAGTTGTTAACAGCAAAAATAATGATAATAAAAATATCAATTATTTACAAGCTTTTGTATGAATTTATATTTTCTAATTTGGTATTCAACAAAGACATACTCTTGTGGACAATTATGATCAATTAGATACATGAATTGGCTTCCAGTGCTGTGCAGTCTTTGTGTCTAGCTCTTTGTTTTTAAAGCAGCTACAGTGAAGATTTTTTTATGGATCACATTCACAAGTTCATGTGATCCATGTTGCTTGTGAACCCACTGAAAATCCTCACCTAAAAGGGAAAGTTTTATGGAGCTAGTGCAGCTGTCCACCTGCTGAAAAATGCTTACAGCCCCTTAAACTGTGGCTGAAATGTCACGACTGCATCAAAATGACTTTATTTCATTCATGATGGTTATATCTGAAAGATTGTAAGTCAAGGGACACATGCAATTTTTTTGAAAAAAATAAATATGCAAATTTCTGCAAATCACATTAATGACAGTCTAAACAACAATATTAGAACTGCTGAACACATATAGCCTAAACATCAGAAACTACACTAGGTAGTATGTCCTACAATCTTCCTAATTGTCACTGATTACACTATAAATTGCGGGAGAAAAAATTGGTCACAATTATTCAGTTCCAAGAAGTTTCCCCAAATCATGTGTATTTGCACATTCAGAACATTTTATAAACATAAAAGCAGTTGTAGATGTAAATAAACTGAGCAATACAGCTTTAACATCAAGTTTTAGACAGAACATTGGCAGATCATCACTTCTTGGTATAAAGTGGGCTGAATGGATGTGGTGTGGAATAAAAAAGTTTGGCAGAAACTGAGGGAGCTTAGTTGGGAAGTCTGGAGCACTTGATGGAGTCCTGTAAATAAGGTACAAGGCTGGTGGATTCCTGTCTTCTTGACACGTGTAGTAGTTGCTGTCGTGGACCCTCACGTATTTCGGTGGATGACGAAATTTACGTAAGGCTTACGCTTGCAAAAATGGAAGCATGAATTAGCCTGAGCTAACTGGGTTTAGTGCCTATTTTTTTTGTCCACTTATTTGGTGTTTGTGACCCAAAACTAAGTTCTGCAAAAATATTTTGGCATAATTGTATTTGTTTCATATGCTTTCAGACCTAGGATTTTTTTGTATTTTGACCCTCAAAAGAGAAAAACAAAACAAAACAAATCTTAATTAGGCTGTCATTTTCAGAATTGAATGTCTCCAGAAACACAACTCCCACAGTTATGAAATTTGCTGAGTAAAAGAAAAAGCTGTTCCCAGCAGACAGAAATAAATGAGTAGCTTCAGCAGAGGCCAACATTTGAATTATAGGGGCTTGAAAATGGAGAAGAAAGTACAACATTTTCAAACACAGGTGGTATTAGAGCTGCCAGAAAGTTGTGTAAATTGTATTTAAATGGATGTGTCTGTTTCTCCATCTTTCACCAAATTTTGAGCCGAAGAACAGCAAAGTTTGATGCTTGAGGAGTATAGCAAATCATTTTTTTTGTGTTTTGCCAAAATTGTATAACCATAACAATAGGTGTAGGTAGTAGTCTATATGTTGTCATTATATGTGCAAAGTTAGTGGTTGCTTTAATGTTGATTTCAAGCTGAAATGTAACAATATATGAGGCTTGTTTTTGCCTTACTAAATGTTCAACATGCATATAAATTTGGAAAAAGGACCAAATGGGTTAACGGGATGATACAAAGTTGAACTGGAGATTATGTGCAGCAGGTGGCTGACTGGAGCCTGACACTCAGGTGTGTCCCTCAGCAGGTGAACACACCAAGTCACACAAACCTGTTTGGCGAGGAGTGGACACAGCAAAGGAGAAGGGGCAAGTAGTGATGGGAATTTCGGCTCTTTTGAGTGAGCTGGATCATTCGGCTCAGCTCACCAAGAAGAGCCGGCTCTTTCGCGTTGGATTTTTTGCGTTGTTTAGCTTATGATATATACATAGGTGTACACATACTTCTTAAATAATTCAATACATCCTTTGTACTAAAGAATTCACAAGTAAAAATTACATTTTCTAATATCAGTAAATTGCTGTTGCCACTTGTTTTCATTGCATTTACAGATCCTTGAAACTCTCTGAAACCACCCAATGAACACACTGACTTGCTTGTAGAACCACTCTGCTACACAAAGCAGATGGAAACATCTTGAAAAATTTAAGCATAGAAATAAAAAAGGACAGATGTTGAGATTTTCAGTGTTTACTTAAACACAAATAAATATAAAATAATATAAAAATAACATAAATAATGTAATAAATAACATAATAAAAAGCTGTATTACAATGAACAAAATAGCAGCAAAACCAAAAACCAAAATTACCTGAGTAACAACCGTATATATATATATATATATATATATATATATATAATACAAATAAATATATTGCAATGTGCAAAACAGTAACATAGCCTGCCCTGTTTCTTCCAACTGAACTGTTGGATGCACAGTTCTCATGTGTCTGTGTAGGTTGTTTGTGGACCCTGCTCAATATGAAAGTTTATTTTTTTTGATTCTGCATTCTGCCTTAATGTTGTCATTATTATTAAAGTGCATCCAAATGCTGCTCCGTTTTCTCTCACTCATCTTTCTTCCTTGCTTTCTTTTTCGCGTCTTCTCTCGTCGTTGCTCCTCTCTCTCCCCACCTGCGTGCTCCGTCCAATGAACACAAGCTACTGGCGCACCCCCGTCCCCCTCTTCTTGGTGTATCCTGCTGTGATTGGTTGCACACAGCAAGCACGTGACAGTCATGCACTGCACGCATGGAGCACCCCTTCTGCAGTTATTCTGCCTGAGTTTTTTCTCGGTCTGTGGGCGAGGCAAAGAACGGCTCACTGACAGGAGCCGGCTCCCATCGTTCACTTTTAAGAGCCGGCTCTTTGAATCGGTTCGTTCGCAACCGACACAACACTAGAGCAAGACAGCTGACACTTGCGCATTGCTGGACAGGATTAAAGAAAGTCAGAGCTAAACAAAAATGTCACTTTCCCCCGTTGGTGAACACAAACCTCTCTGCTGCTGTGTGTTTATTACCAACAGCGCGTGCAGAGAAGTAATGCGCGAGGACAGAGACGAATCTTCAAACATGTTTAGGTTAAATTAGTGATTCTAAATGGTCCGTAAGTGTGAATGTGAGTGTGCTTGGTTGTCTGTCTCTAAGTGTAGCCCTGCGGGATACTGGCGGCCTGTCCGGTGTGTCCCCTGCCTTCGCCCTAGGTTCCATAGTATGAGTTCCCGCGACCCGAGTGAGGATTGAGCGGTGTATAGATAATGGATGGTCACGTGGTGGCCACCAGTGGCGGGCAGGTAGCCAAACGGTGCAGCATTTACGCAGCGTCCAACTGTGAGCGGCAGTGCGCACATGCCGAGGGAGAATTTATGGCTGATCATTTTTTTCGGTATGTCACTTGAACGTAAAGCGCGCCGCTTCTCCCTGACGCGCAGCTCTGACCGCTGTTGGGTTTTCTCTGCCTGCAGCGGGGCTCTCCAGCGCCTCCTGCCCGTGTCTGGGAGCGCTTCCCTCCGCAGAGGAAGCAGTGACACAGTAGTGATCTGTGGGGAGTAATTTCTGGGAAGCCTGAGAGGAGCGTCTGAATGGAAAAAAAACAAACTTGGCATTTTGGGATGTGATGAAGTCCACAGTTCCGCTGGATGGTTCTGGTTTGGATCACAACTTGCGGTGAAACTTTCTGTTAGTGTGAGGATGCACCGATTTGACTGAGCCTGGTGATATTCTTACATCGTTGGAGATGAAGGCTAACCGACGAACTGTGAACTTGTGGATATTAAACTTTTTCCTGTGTTGGACTCCGGTTGAGGCACAGGTAAGAAACATATACACCCACTTCTTTAAACAAACTGAATGAACATCAGCGCATCTTTTTGCTACCAAAGTGATATTTGTGCATGATAGCAATCCTCTCTTGATCCTCAAAAAGCTTAATGTAAACGTAGTAATGCAGATCAAAAATCCCATTATATAAGATTAGAATCGTGGCAGAAAAAGTGCTGGGATCCACAATTGAGTATAATATGCAGCAACATGTCTCCCTTCACCAGCACAGACACAACCATCAATCTATAGTGAACACGCCAGTCATTTCTCTATGTGCATGTGTTCATCTTCTGTGTGTCTTCCCTCCTTCTAGATACAAAAGGAGCAATTACAGAGAAATGTCAGCACCCAGGAACATGGCAGCGTAGTATTTTCTAATAGCAGAGTCTGCCTGTGCAGTCTGTCGGCATCTGTCTAACGCCTAACTTGATGAGATCTGACCAATATTGCGCTTTTCTCAGCTGACCTTTTTATTTATTATCACAGAATCGTGACAGCATTGGCACTTTTGTCAGAAGCAATTTGTTCCTCATTTGAGGAGTTGTATCTGTAACTGTCAGCTGACAAATTGGCTTGTCAGATGCCTTACAGACCGCTTTATATTTGATTGGTCTGCCTATTTCAATTAGGAAACCACGTATCTGGTGCCAACCCTAAAAATGTAACTAACAATGCATGGCTAAAAGCAGACACTGAAAAAACATTTTTTCTCTGCTTATAGTTTCTTTTTTTGACATGTTCTATAAGCGACATTACATTTCAACTGATTAGTTTTGAATGTTCGCACTGACGTGCTACAGGAAAAAAAGGTAACACACCTGGGGATAGTGTAACAGAGTGTTAAGACACATGACTCCACAGAATGGTTGCATTATTAGTCATTGAACTATGAAGAGTCACAGTTGTCCAAAGTGAGGTGTAACATGTGTTGTAGAGCAGGGGTATTCAATTAAAAGTCACTGAGGTCCAGTTATTAAAATGTCCTCCAAGTGAAAGGTCAGAACTGAAGTCCAGTTTTTGTCTTTTAGCCTTCCCCTATGGCCACATTTTCTTAATACTTATTGTCAATTTTCAGTGCAGGATATGTTCAACTGAGTGCACAGTTAGCTCTTTTACCATATATATAAGTAGTCCTAGGCAAAAAAAAATTGAGGCCTGTATTTCAGATTAGAGAAAACAAAAACCTCAGAAAAGTCAGATATTAGAGGTGCAGCTGTAGAGCCAGAAGCTTTTTCCTCCATCTTGCCAAGTCGTGCTGTTTTAAAACATGAATGTCAGGGTTTTAAGAACTTTCTTAAAGATATTCTGAAGCCTGCTTCTGTGCTCGCTATTCATCCTTGAACTGCACCTACAACATCTACTCTACCAGTCTTTTTCATGCTTCTTGTAGCTGCGTGCTGTCTATTGGACATAATGTGAGTTTCAATGGCTTTTTGAAGTAATGTTCTAATATAGATGGGAATCACTCTCTGACTTATTTTTTTTATGTCCTGCTTCCCTGATGATATGAGTAGAAGGAGTTCATGCACAACTGTAGCATAAATAACAAATAGTCCCACAGGCATTTTTATTAACTCATTTTTTTGTACATTCAAACAGAAAATGCACATGGTAAAACATTAAAAAAATCTGGGGTTTTGCCTGCAGTTTTCTTCACATTTGGATATGAATCAGTTGTGGATTCTGTGTGACGGAAAAGAGATGTACTTTTAAGTTTTTCTTTATGCGACAATTTTATTTAAAACACCCGCTGTAGGCCACTGTGTGGAGTGAACTAATGCAGTTTAATCCTCAACCTACTTTTCAGAAATCCTGACAGCTACTGGAAATGTTTGTTTGAGGGCATTGCTGACAAAGGAAGTTTGACCGTTGATGATACTGAAGGATTAACTTTCCATCTGCAGCGTGTTTACACTAAGATGAAGATCCGATGATATTTTATGAGCAATTATTGCAGAAAACCGTGTGATTCAAAAACGTTTACATATTTTTTCCTTTCGGCTGTTTGCTGATGGTGAAGGATGGTGGATGGCGGTTAGGTTAAGCTTTTGGTTATAAATATCATAAATTAGTCAGAGTTGTTAAAGTTCAGTAGATGATAAATTTGTTATAAAGTTCTATCTATCTATCTATCTATCTATCTATCTATCTATCTATCTATCTATCTATCTATCTCAGTCAGCAGGCTTTTTTCATTATGTTTAATCAATACAGTCAAAAATTCAGTGTTATATGGAGTCTTTTCCATCTCAGTCTAGATGAAACTGTAAACTGTTACTGAAAGTAATTTCTATTATCAACCCTGGAAAATGGCAAAGCTCCACACCATCTCTTAAACATGTACAATGTTGAGACAATGAAAAGAACCATCTGGATAATTAGTGTGCTTTATGGCTCACACTAATTATAAATGGTTCTATAAGCTTGACTTGGTAAAATAACTGTTGTTATTTTCCTGAATAGGCTGAGAAAGAATGACTCTGCAATGATGTCTTTTTTCAAATGTTCACTGTATATAACAGTTGGATTAAGATAACTGGAGTAGCATCCAGATCTGCTGACAAGTAACTGGTGAAAGCCTCTGAGACTGCTGCATTGTTGAAATGTGGTTCTAAATACAAATACACAAGTGTTAAAACTTGTTCATCTCTTCATTGACCTGACATTAGAGATCTGGAGGCTCAGGCTTTCTTCTCTCATTTGTAGCCATAAGGGACACTGACTTCAAGCACTGACAAAATGTCCACAAGTTCAGCTATAAAATAATACCCATGTCACAGTGAGTCTGAGTAACAAGAATTTCTTTGCAGATTTGAATCAGACCATTGTATACACGTGGATAAAATTGTTGGTACCCACAATGGTCACAGAAATAACTTGAATCTGACAAAAGTAATAATAAATAAAAAATCTATGAAAATTCACCAATGAAAATCAGACTGCTTTTGAACTGTGGTTTAACAGAATTATTTTTAAAAATAAACTCATGAAACAGGCCTGGACAAAAATGATGTACCCTTAACTTAATATTTTGTTGCACAACCTTTTGAGGCAATCACTGCAATCAAACGATTTCTGTAACTGTCAATGAGACTTGTGCACCTCTCAGCAGGTATTTTGGCCCGTTCCTCATGAGCAGACTGCTCCAGTTGTCTCAGGTTTGAAGGGTGCCTTCTCGAGACGGCGTGTTTCTGTGACGGTTCGTGCTAAGTGACTGTGCGGGCGGACCCAAACGAAAAGGGAGACGGGGAGAAGGGTTAAAGGAAACAGGATTTATTTAGGGAAGGTGGTGGAGTGATGGGCACCAGGAGGCAGAAACATAGTCCGGTGAAGGGGTGCCGGTCGTGGGGGGTGCCAAGGGTGGTGCGAGGAGGTCCGGTGCTCGTGCGTGCCTTTGTCTGTGGAGGTTTTCCTGGTGTAGAGAGGGAGCCTTGAAGAGGGAAACCAGGGTGGTGCGCAGGGGTCCGGTGCTCAGGAGTCGGTGCTCGTGGGTGGTGCTCTCGTGACGGTTCACCCGGTGATGGTGCCCGTGGTCGTGAATTCCCGTGAGTGCAAAACTCTGGAGTGCCTGGAGGAGTGCTGAGTGCAGGAGCCGAGGAGGAACACTGGAAGCAGGCAGACAAAGCACATACAATAAACTCGAGACTAGAGAACAACAAAAGTGCTAGAAATGCTCAGCGAGGTGTAGCAGCTAGCGGCCTGACTGTACCACGAGGTAGGTATCACAATCGTCTGGCGTCGGTCTTCTGTGAGACGCCAGTATACAAGCAGGGCACGGCTGATGAGCCGATGAGCCACAGCTGCCAGCGTGCACGTGTCTCTCCTGATCGGCTCCGCCCAGCCTGCAGAGAGCAGAGACACACCCACCAAAGCACAAAGACAGACAAAATCCCAAAAACCCAGTGAACACAGTCTATGACCCTCACAGTTTCAGCTCCTTCCACAGATGTTCAATAGGATCTAGATCAGGCCTCATAGATGGCCACTTCAGAATAGTCCAATCTTTTCCTCTTCGCCATTCTTGGGTGTTTTTAGCTGTGTGTTTTGGGTCATTATCCTGTTGCAAGACCCATGACCTGCGTCTGAGACCAAGCCTTCTGACACTGGGCAGCACATTTCTCTCTAGAATACCTTGATAGTCTTGAGATTTCATTGTACCCTGCACAGATTCAAGACACCCTGTGCCAGATGCAGCAAAGCAGCCCCAGAACATAACAGAGCCTCCTCCATGTTTCACAGTAGGGGCAGTGTTCTTTTCTTGGTATGCTTCATTTCTGCTGATGTGCCTTACCAAAAAGTTCCAGTTTTGTCTCGTCTGTCCATAGGACATTCTCCCAGAAGCTTTGTGGCTTGTCAACATGCAGTTCCAGTTCCATGCAAATTCCAGTCTGGCTTTTTTATGATTTGTTTTCAACAATGGCGTCCTCCTTGGTCGTCTCCCGTGAAGTCCATTTTGGCTCAAACAACGATGAATGGTGCGATCTGACACTGATGATGTACCTTGACCTTGGAGTTCACCTTTAATGTCTTTAGAGGTTGTTCTGGGTTATTTTGTTAGCATTCGTATTATCCATCTTTTTGATCTGTCATCAATTTTCCTCCTGTGGCCACGTCCAGGGAGGTTGGCTACAGTTCCATGGATCTTTCTATTGCAGTGCAGCAGAGCAATGTACTGTGACCTTGCTGTTTTTAGCCATAGAAGGGTGGCTGTTTGACAGTCCTCCACTTTCAAAAGGACCCTTGGAACCAAAATTCGATGGATTACAGTGAAATGGTTCCTACAGTGTGAATATTAAGCCCCCTTCAGACATGCACCGTGTTAAGTAAATCTTACAGTGCAGTTCAACATGTCATGTCAATATAAATTTAATGTTCAGTCTTACTTGGTTGGACATACAAATTTTCCCATACCACTTTCAACCCGAAAGTTGGCTTGGACAAAAAATAGTTTCTGTTGTTGTGGCCTAGATTTCCCCACCGTAATCAATA